AATGGACACACCCCCAATAAATATACAGAAGTTAGTGAAAATGGATTGAACTTATGCTGTGAGAAGACCATTTGGTAGCATCATGAATGCGCCGCCACACCAGTGAATGGAACCTGAATGTGAAACGACGAGTTGGACGTGCATCAGAGTGGGTTGCATGGAGGAGAGCGTGTGAGAAAGAAACGAAAAACCACAGGCAGTCGTGGAGCTAGTTAAGAAAGTCATCAAAGGATGAAGTGAGATGGATTCTAAAGCTGTATTTTCTACTCGGAACCCATGGAAACAATTGATTAGTTAATATACTTAAGATAAACTGGTGCCTTTACCTCGTAGCACAGTGGACGGTTTGTTAAACTTGCTCTAAAGATTGTACTTATTTCTAGCGGGGTTGTGATTGCTTAGTAGTTGATTGTTATTTTATTTACACTCAATTTATTAAGTGCCTGGGTATTAATTATGATATAATGGGGGCTTTGGGCTTTGTAACCTGTTCTCCTTCTATGCAAAAAGTGAAATGCTTCATTTTTAACTCTTATGCTTTTCAGTTAGTAAGTGTATGTATCAACAACAACGTAGTAGGATAGGTGTTGGACTTGGTCTTAGCTGAGTAGACTATTTATCAAGATATTTGAAGTGACGTTCGACTACTTTAGTTTATTTATTTATACTACTTATAAGTAGGCAAACATTTTAATTTATTTGAATTATTTTTATGAGGTAGCCACATTGAAAATTCTTCGCAAAAAATTAATCTTTTGTTATTTTTTGCCATAAATAAGTTATCAAAGTGTAAAAATAGAATTTTTTTATACGTTTATAGAACTTTTTGAGCTCACTTTACTATTTGTAGGGTGTACTTGTGTGTTTCCTAGTGTGTTAATTTGTGCGTGTTTGAATAAAGAAAAGACTAAAACAAATAATCATTTTTTAGGTTTTGATTTGTAAAGATTTGGTTAATTTAAAATTTAAAATGAGTATAATGCTCACTAGGGTTCAGTGGCTCAGACTGTAGTTGATTATAGTTTTGAAACAAGCCATAAAGGTTAATAAAGTAGGATTTAATGAATTCATCAAATTTTGGTAAAACTCGTCAACTGAATTCTTTTACATACACGGATATATATATATATATATATATATATATACTTTTGGAATTACATTGGGGGAGATATAAGACTGATAAGCACAAATAAACTAAATTGAATTAGTCATGCAGAAAGACAGGTGCGGATGTTTTCCAGGTTACGTTCAAATAGATAAGGGGTATGAGAGATTAAGAATTAAGATAAATTGCATTAGGCTTCAATTACATCACTTAGATAAACAATTAGTCATTAGAGAACAAAACAAGACTTGCAAACAGAGTAATATCAATAGTAATAGTTATAATAACAATAATAATAATAGTGTTGAAGTAAGTTAAGATAATGGTACTGTTAAAGGATAGTTTTAAATGAATCAGGAATATTAATATTAATAATAATGAGGTAGAATAATAAGTAAAACGTATTACCATGGTAGATTCAGAGTCACGACCATCTCCTTTTGTACACAGAGACCTAGTTTATAAACTCGATTATAGTTTTAGCAAGAAGTCGTTACTATTTGGATCCATCAAATCGAGTGTGTGGAGAAATACTCGTCGATGGCAATGATTGGTCCTTGTACAACTTGGCAGAAGTTAAAGTCTTTTGGGTCAGCCATTGGATTCCATCTGATTGGCTGAATGGTCAACGGGCTTGACCCATAAACGTGAAGGTAGTGGGTTTGACCTTTGATGAGGCGATGTGTGTGTGTGTGTACTTACAAAGAGTCCTAAACTAGGATGAAACAGCCGGTCAGTACTCCCTTGTTTTCAGTGGTTCTCTAACTGAAGTTAGCTCGTCATATTCCTTTCAATGGTCAGTTTTTGTCATATATAATGACAGTGAAGAAAAATGTCTCATTTACTTCGTGTGTGTCGGTGGTACAGCGGTAGAGTGCTTGCCGACCACGCATGTGGTCTGGGTTTCGGTCCCAAGCCGACGTACTCCTTAACCACGCTAAACCAGTAGTAAGACCGGTAAAGAAGGAAGGTTGGGCAGCAGGCTAGCACCTCTCATCCTGCAAAAATAATCACCACTGCTACAGAAACTTTAAGCCTCTAGCTTTTGAAGCCCTATGTTCCACTGGGAACGTAAAGGAATAAAAGAAACTTCGTTTATTTCCTTATTTTTATCGTTGAAAGTTTTAATGTGGTCTGACAAACAACAATTCCTATTGATATTTGTTCAACTTTTTGTAAGGATATAGTACTCTTTTCAGGGAAATCGACTTTCTTTTTAACCCGGTCAAGGGTTTACATTAAACAGCGATATTTCGGAGTACGAAGACAAAAGGCTTCCGCAGATTGAGTAACTAAAAGTCGTAGGTGTGAATAAATGCATGTTATTTAAGGGGGGGGATGAGGGGATTTGGATCCAAGTCTACTTTATTCTATTAGCCTTGGAATATAATTTGCTTTTCGATAATTAAAATCAAAATTTTTCGTGGAAGAATAGGCGATATGATGATTTAAAGTTATACTCTTGATGACATAGTTTTGTTCATACTTCATCCTTTGTCTTTATCGTAATATTCATTCCTTTAAAACCACATTTCTCTCATTATTTGTCTTAAGGCGTACTACAACTTCTTGAGATTATAATACTTACAACTTTTTGTTTATCTTATATAGTACCCTATCTACTTCATATATCGGGAATGTATTTTGAAGCACTCAGTAAATTGTAGTGTATGTGACATCCTTTTATGTCTTAAGATGAAAAGTTTCTTTAATCACCGCTATCTCTATTAATTACTTCTGTTTTGAAAGTCAATGGAAGCCAGTGCTTTAGCTACGCAGTTCAGAAGCATTTATTTTAAAGTAAAACACTAGTGGTGAATTCATTATCTGCTGATTTATTTCTAACGTCATGCTACTAAGAGAGATTACTAGTTAGTTATCTATAAAGTTTAACAATGTAGATTATTATTATTATTATTACTATTGTTAAAACATAATCCAAGACATCAAGAAGTTAAACAGCTTCTGTGTTGTGTTACTTGAATAAACTTGAATCTAAATTCATACAATAGAGTTTACTTTAACTATATTGAATTTAATAAGTTTTTTTCACAGTTCTGTAAATGTGAAGACAGCTTAATTTTCAGCGTGAACTTAACATTTTACGAGATATAACTAACTGTATAGCAAGCATTTAGATTATATATTATTGTAAGTCATTAGAATAACCTAATTTACTCGTCTGAATTCTTTTCATTGAACAATGAAATAGACTGTGTAGAAGACATTAATCATTAGATTATAATAGGGAAGGTCTGATACTAGTATTGGTTTGTAAGGATTCGGTTGATTGGTTATAGGATTCCATCATGAGCTGACATTAGTTAGAGAACCATTGGAAAACCTGCAGGGAGTACTAGACAGTTGTCTTGTCAGCCTAGTTTGGGACTCTTCACAGTACGCACCAGTAGGGTACAGCAGGTTGAAAGTGCTGCAGTAACTCATCGAAGAAGACATTAAGAAGTGGTCGCACTATGTCACGCATGAATTAGCAGGAGTTAGAATTCATGGATTGGCCATTGGTTCGGGTCTCAGTGGCTTTAATGGTCTACGAGCTGGCCAACCTTGTGACCAGAAGGTCCTGGGTTCGAACCGTGGCGGTGGTTGCGTACTGATGAAGAGTCCCAATCTAGGATGGAGGAAACAGCTGTCCAGTACCCTCAGGTTTTCCAATGGTTGTCTAACTGATTTCAGTTCATGATGAAATCCTGTAGCTATGATGTTTATTCCTGCATAGAGTACATAGTTTCACTCTTTAATTTCATTGGTTCTTTATTTGATGTCTGTTGTTTTTGAGGAATTAGATGCCTGTCATTTTTTTAACTGTGCATTTATGACAATAAAAAATGAACCACAAAAAACGTGATATTTGTTAATCAAATGATTAACCGTTGATCTTATCGGCGAGGTTTGTATGGTGATGGAATAATAGTGCTTGATCTACGATTCTTCATCACTTAGACGGGCTACAAATTAGGTAACTGTCGTTGTACACCCACAGTATGTAAACATGTGGCAATAGGAACTATTACATGCATATTTACCTACACAGAGAAAACAGGTCTTTTGAGACGACAGGATTTTATCATCCTGGAAGTAATAACTCCCAGTTATTTTATCCAACCGACCATTAACAATCATAGTACAGAAACACTATCTTCTTCTTGTAAATTGCAGTGATAAGAATGCCAATGACACTAACCTTTAACTCTGATTAAAAATGAATGCTCAGTCAAAAATTCACATAAGAGACGATGAGCAACAATGTATCGTTTGTCTTTCCCAACAGTTTGTCTAACTTATAGCTCAAAGTTCACTTGATTGATAAACTAAGCCGATAGCATTGTTTAGGCTAATTTGTTTTTCTCATTGATTGATTATGTTAGACGAAAATCGTTGATCTCTCTTGACATGTCAGTTCATATTATGGACACCTCGAAGATATCTGAAGATCGACGTGCTGCCATTTCGTCTTATGGTGGCTATCAGTGGAATCCAGGATGCGCATTTGGTCCTATTTAAGACTCGTCAGCTGATTAGTCACCATTGGATAAGACTTTGGTGTTTGAAACGACAGATGAGGAGTTTAGCTCGCATTTCAATACTTATTGGGGATGGAGGCACATCCAAATGACGAAGTCCCATTGCAGAAAGGGTAAAAAATATTTCGCCAAATGCTATGTAGTCACACAACATAGTTATATGAGAATTTATGATTGTAAATATTGTAGTCGACACTATAAGTAACTGCTTGTGTTTCTTAAAAAGTTTATAAAGACTAAGTTTTTCTGAATACCATATATCGCTTATCCAATGCTAATGAGCTTCCTGTATACTTGTTTACATTTCAGCATTAATTTCCATTATTATTTTTTTCTAACCAATTAAAATATAGGATTATTTACCATTACGTTGGATGGCTCCAGAGTGTGTTGATACGAATTATTTCACTTCAAAATGTGATGTATGGTCGTTTGGTATACTATTATGGGAGTTATTCACTCTCGGTAATACACCATATTCTGAAATTGCTACAGATGAGGTAATTGATTGGGTAAACCAGGGAAATCGTAATCCTCGACCATACTTATCAACTGAAGCAGTCTATCAATTAATGCTTGACTGTTGGTCACAAGAACCTGATAATCGACCGGGATTTTCTGAAATATATACACGAATTACATCTATGATTCCAAACTCCACCGAGAATTGTTCAAGCGATTATGTTAGGGTGAGTAGATATGACAGACCTTTCTTCTTATAATAGTGCCTCTTCCATGATAAGTTAATTGTTGTAATAATAAGTGTTGCGTTCATATAATTTATGATCAATTCATAAGTCCCAAACTTATCCCAACCAGTCTTTGCTACTTTTCTGGTTTGGAGAACTTTTTCCTAAAGTGATATACCGTTTCCAACTGTGTTAAATCATCAATTCTAGATCATAGTACCAAATTATTTGAAGTAGTTTTTCTTTCTTTATTATTCATTGCGTTCCGGATGAAACACACAGGGCTTCGAACCCTGGAGCATCAGTTGCAGTGGTTTTGTTCTCAAGATGTGGGGTTGTTGGCCTCACCTGCAGCAACCTACTCCATTTTCGAGCTGACTACCGGCTAGTAAAGTAGATGAGGCCTGGCACAGCACCCACGGGGAATTAAACGCGGATTTCCTGAGTGGTTGGTAATTATTTTGCAATTCCAATCACTGGCACACAAGCAATTCTTTTTGTAATATGATATTTTATGCATAACGATGAATATATTTTGTCTAAAGGCAAAGAAGAGATCGTTTCTAGTGAAGCAAATTCAGCCTAACATAGTAAAAGCGGAATCATAGATTTTAGTAATTCAGATATCTGTCTTCTAGAAAGCATAAGTCAGTGATAGAATAAAACAATTATGATATTGTTTGAACTCTGACAGCTAGTGATTCGATTATCTTTACTTACCATTCGACTGATTTAGTCTTAAGGTTCAACGACTTTCCTGGTGAATGTAAAAAAACGATTACCCATAGTAATTCTCACAGGATAAAAATCAAGATTGTTCGTTATTATGATTCAGATATAATGAATAATTCATTAGTTAGATGAGAAAAGTTGCTTTAACTATCGTGGATCCACGTCGTCCTCTGAGCTAATATAACTGAAGAGATAACTCTTTAAGGCCATTAATTATATTTCTCAAATGCAATTTACCTACTAATGAGTAGTGTAAAAGGCATTTCGAAAAAAATAATTTGAAGAGTCGTGCATCCATTACAACAGTATGCTTCAGTTTGGTGAGATAGTAGGATTCACCTGGTTATGTAAAGATAACAGAAACTACTTTAGTTTTAGCTGTTACTTTGACAACATGTATGCATATATGTATATTGAGTCATAAAAGCCTCAGCCTCATTTTTTAACTATAAAACATAGCAAACGAAAGTGGAAGACGTGAAAAGTTTAGCTGTCTTTGATCATGAATGAGCCTCTGCGTTCTGTCTCTCGTGTCAGGTGGTATAACAGTATGAGTAATATTGAGGATAGGCATAGATTGTTCGATAGGGAGGGAAAGTCAATCGATGAGGTTGCGAAGTTACATCGATCGAGAAGGTTAGCTTGTGTGTTACTCATCGCCTTCTTCGACGAGCTAACATAAGATGAGGTTGGAAAACATCTAGTGGTGGACAAACCAAGGTAGGTGTAGGGTGCCTGACTAGGGTCTTCGGGATTCCAAGAACAAATCAGTCAGTCCGTGAGTCTCAAAATTAGAATATAGTCTGTTGAATGTGAATAGAAGACTATCATGTTGTTTTCACTGGGACTCACTGTTGTATTTCTGCATTTTTCAATCTGAATTTTGATACTTCATCTTATAAATTCTGTATATGTCTTCCGTTAGCGATAAACTTATGTTTACTTAACTGTGCACTAGTAACTTGACACATAATGGCGTGATGGATAAGAACTAAATTGGATGCATGTTACGCCTATAGAATAATAAGAAATACTTTTTAAGTATTGGTTTGTAGGGATTTGGCTGATTGGTTACAGGATTTCATCATGAGCTGGCATTGGTTAGAGAACCATTGGAAAACCTGGGAGTGCTGGAAAACTGTTTCGTCAGCCTAGTTTGGGACTCTTCAGCAGTACGCATCCACCACATCAGGGTTCAGACCCAGGACCTTCTGGTTACGAGAACAGTGAGCTCGTAGACCATTAAGTCACTGGGACCCGATCCAACGGCCCATGAATTCTAACTTCTACCGATCAACGATATAGCGCAACCGCTAGCCAATGTCTTCGACCAGTATTTGTCCTCACACGCGACCTGCTGCACCCTACTGGTCATGACTTCTCACTGAAACCCCAGGTAACTACCTACCTGAAGACATTGGCTAGCGGTTGCGCTATGTCGTGAATTGGCAGAAGTTACAATTCATGGGCTGGCCATTGGATCGGACTTAATGGTCTACAAGCTCGCTGTTCTCGTAACCAGAAGGTGCTGGGTTCGAACCGTGACGGCGGGTGCATACTGATGAAGAGTCCCAAGCTAGTATGGAGGAAGCAGCTGTCCAGTACTTCCAGGTGGTTTTCCAATGGTTGTCTAACCAATGTCAGCTCATGATGAAATCCTGTAACCAAAAAATAGCTTTTACTAATTATTCAGTAAGAATGTTGACTGATACCGCCAATCAATATGCTTCAAGTCAGCATCCGGATGTTTGCACTGTACTAGACTCTTAGGTCAGTAAGGCTAAGATATGATATCATTTACATTCAGTATACCCTTTTTTCCCAATTCTGTATGTAACATTTTCTTGTGATGTAGTCAACATGAAAGCATTTATAGTAACACTTCCTTCTTGTAAGGGAGTGTTACAGTTTTATGTCTCAGCAGATTGGTGTTCGCCTTTGAAGTATGCATAATGAGTGGAGTAAAATAAAAGTTTTATTTTCATAATCACAAGAGAAAATTATACACAGTCACTGGATTACTCTTCACTGGTTTACTAAGCTTTTCAGGATTGGTTTAAACCAGACTGAATTACTTATTATTATTATTATTATTAAGATACCCAACCTGCTTACTACAGACCCATTTGAAGTATGAATGATTGCAACTGCTATAAAGTTCTGGAATGAAACCTACTCAATGTGACTAGTTGAATAATTCAATAAGAATTTAACTTTTTTTTAAAAAAAAAATTTTAATTATAAATATTATGGGTCTAACTGTATCACTTTTCTTTTATACATTACACACCCATATACAGGGATATGTTGAAATCCTCGCAGATGTTGACGAATACTTAACTCCTCGTCAATAATCACACTAGATAAATCTTCTAGTCGCGTGTTGGTGTGTGTTCCATTTGTGCCCTGGCTATTGTAAGTACATTTATTGCACCGATTGAAAAACAAAACTCTACAACTATAACAATACCAACAGCAACAACAAGATTGAGAACACAATACAAATTCATCACTTGATGTCCGACAAGCAGCTATGTACAGTAAAACATTTTCATGATCATCAACATTTATTAACACTATGAAACAGTTGAATATGTATTTATATATATATTATAACGTATATATATGTATTTGTATAATTGCTTTTAATACTATTATTATTATTATTATCATTATTATTACTATTCTTATTCATACTCTAAAGGTATATGTATTATTTTTTTTCCCGACTTTTCATCCCATCGACATCATATTTTTTGTACGTCAATAGATTGTGACTGTTTATTATTATTATTATTATTATTACTACTACTATTATCATTGCTATTACTATTTATTATCCCTGCTTTTATAAGGTATATGTATTATATTTCCACAATATTTTACTACCCTGACATCACACGTTTTGTAAACCTAAAGATTACAACTATTATTATTAGTATTATTATCATCATCATTACCATTATTACCATTTAATCATGTGTGTACAAACCCCCATTCATAAGATTATTATTTTGTGTATAGTTGCTATTTTCTCCTACAGCCTTTAAAATATAATTATATGCATATAGTATGGGCATTGCTACGCATTAGTTTCCGGTCTCTGAATTAGGCGGCTTTTAACTGAAACACTTTCATTGTCTTCTTTTAGACAACACGTCTTCAGTGTAAACTTCAGTGTGAATAATAAAAGTCGTTTGAGTTTTCCACGAATTATGATAAACCTGTCTCTCTTGACAATCTTTGTCGTGATTAGTTGTTAATTCGGATTGGTTTTGATCACCTTTTTTATTGGTTCAGGATTTGATTTTTTGTCATGAAGCTAGCTTTTTCCTTATTAGTTGGTTGACTTTGATGTGTCATAATATGCCTGTTGATTTCAGTGATTCATCCAACGGCCAGGGCTACTAAGAAGTCAAGTATTGGTTTGTGGGGATTTGATTGATTGGATTGACTACAGGATTTCATTATGAGCTGACATTGGTTAGAGAACCATTGGAAAACCTGCAGTGAGTACTGGATAGCTGTTTCGCCCTAGTTTGGGGCTCTTCGTCAGTACTCTCAGATTTTCCAATGGTTCTCTAACGAATGTCAGCTCATAATGATATCCTGTAACCAATCAATCAAATCCCCACAAACTAAATCTTGAATGTCAATGGGAGATGGTCACAGGTGACTGCCCTATTCAGGTAGGTAGTTACCGGGGACCTGGTGGGAAGTCGTGACCAGTAGAGTGCAGCAGGTCGGGTGTGAGGACAAATACTGGCTGACGATATTGACTAGCGGTTGCGCTATAGAGTGAATTGGCAGAAGTTAGAATTCATGGGCTGGCCATTGGATCGGACTTAATGGTCTACAAGCTCGCTGTTCTCGTAACCAGAAGGTGCTGGGTTCGAACCGTGACGGCGGGTGCATACTGATGAAGAGTCCCAAGCTAGTATGGAGGAAGCAGCTGTCCAGTACTTCCAGGTGGTTTTCCAATGGTTGTCTAACCAATGTCAGCTCATGATGAAATCCTGTAGCTACTAAGAATTCTCTGGTATTTTTAATGTTTCCGCTATTTAAAACTCCTACACTTTCCTAAGTCAAATAGGTGTGTCCCTAGCCGTCTGTATGCTTTGATATGAAAGAATATAAGTGATGTGTCTTCTTACAGCTACTGTGTGTTGTGGAATATGGAGTCAAAGGGAATGCTTAGTTCAACAAATGTAGTACTTAGCATAATTCATGAAATTAATTTTATAGAAGGTGTTGCTGTTGGGTCTTTTGGTTTGCATGATATTGAATAAAGTGATTTGTTTTGGTTTGTGTATGTATGATGCCTATTCCAAGTGGTTTTAGCATTCTGGTCGTTATTTCAGAAATATTCTTTATTACTATTTTAGGATGAATTTTTCCTGTGTTTTTTGGGGATGGTTTCTTGTGGGTAGTTCGATTTGTGGGTTTAGACGTTTTTTCCGATGAGATTGAGATAGCATCCACTTTCCTAGAGGGACTGGTCATAAATATTTCTCTTCGATTCTCTTTAAAAACCGGAGTTCTACAGTGTTTTAGCTATTTTGAATAAAAGCCTTGTATACAGTTCTTTTTGTGTGCTTTTGGATTACTGCAGTTGTAGTTGACTTGTAACGATAGAAGACAATAGAAGTGGCAATGTCCTTTCTATTAGGGAAAATGCATCATATTTAATCATTTTAACAACATTAATAGTCGGCTAGGTCAGCGGACAGTGAATGAACTCTTCTGATTGGTTTCCAATTAGCCAATGGGTTAAAAAATGGGATGGAAAGTTGTTCGATGAAGTTATTTCATGACTACAACGTAAACTAGATATAAATTTGAGGAATAAGCACTTCTGCTCCTGTAGTCATTGATTTAAAAGGGGGATTTCAATTTTTGTCCGCTTTCTATCAATCTGCATTTATATACAGATTGTTTAATGTCACACAAAATCGAAGACTCGCAGGTAAAAACCAGCAGACTGGCAGAAGAAGCAGGCAATGAAGACAGGACTACAAATGAAGTAGGAAAGACAAAGGTGATTAAAATAACTAACCAACAGCAACCAGCATCAATCACCATCAACGGAAGACGTGTGGCAGAGATTGCTTTCTTCACTTCTCTAGGAAGCACTGTTTCAGCCACAAGCAGTCAGAACGGATGAAGATGTCAACACTAGACATGAATCAGAGAGGCAAGATACGCCTTCATCAATCTGAAACCAGTTTGGAAATCTTCTGCATTGCACTCAGGCAGCATAAAGAACGAAATTCGGATTTTCAACACAAATGTGAAGCCGGTCAGTCAGTTCTTCTATACGGGTCAAAAAGTTGAACTGCGTGTGACTCATGAAAAGAACTTCCAACAGGTTATAGATTTATCAGCGACTTCTCACTTCACTGGCTCCGTAATTGGATGTCGAATGACCACTCGGCTAGAAAGAATTTGCAACAAGAAACTGATTGAGGACAAATCAACCAAGAACCTATCGTTCAACAAATCTGTAGGAGAAAATGGAGATGGGTGGATCAGGCGTATGTTGAGGAGGCCATCGAATGACATCGCGCGTAATGCATGCCATCGCTCGAGTGAAATCGCAATGGGAAGGGACTAGTGGTTCGTCGGTGCAAGGGCAATATGGAGGAGATCGTTTGGGGAGGAGGAAATGAGAGATTATGGGCAAACATGAAACCAGCTGAAGAGGACCGGAGAGCGTAGAAGAAAATGGAGATGTGTTGTTGAAGCCGTATGTACTGTTTGGAATAATAATAATAATAATATTAATAACAGAAAGCACAATTTAGTCGTTTGTTTGGTCTATCTGAAAAGTTTCAGGACTCGACGTGGATAATAACTTGTCTCGAGACACTCCTCATAGAACTTAATCTTCAACATTTCTCTCGCTATTCTGCAACATTACTTCATTACCTCCAACTCAGAAGAATCTGCGTCAGATCGCATATTGTGATTCATCTCAGAAATACCATCAACACCTTGAGGTGAGATCTGGTCAAATATGACAGTCTACTAGAGAGTTTCAATTTGGTGCGTCAGATAAAGTTTATTGACTTCCTGCAAGACTTACAACTACAGATAGTGAATTCACAATAGGAAGAAGCTCAGGAAATTGTTAGTGGTGGAGAAACTAAATGAAAAATTTGCATAGTCCCCGAAGAGATGCATATACAGTTTATCTGAGGTGACGCTAAACCAAGTCGAAACCGGAGCACTGTCTCTAGGATTCAAGAATCACGTAGCAAACTAGTTTATCAGCAGAATTGACACAGAAACTCAGTTGTAGTATTTATACGACCAACTATCAGATTTTAAACCTATAGACGAGGATAAAAATGTTTTGTTTACGTCCAAAATAGTTGATATCGTAGAGCAGTATCACATTTCTCCCCTCCTACACGATCAAACATTGCTTAATAAGAAGCACAGGCTGGCGTCAAAAAGCCTGCAGAACAATGATAGGATCGTCATTCTTAAACCAAACAAGAGTTTTGGCGTCGTGATAATGAACTGGCGAAACTACATTTTCAAAATGAAAACGCTTCTCAGTGATACGATGGGATTCTATGTGGAAGGGTCAAAAAACGGTACAACAACTGTCTTCGCAAACAAACTAAACAGGCACCTCAAGGAACTGCTTAAAAGAAGGACTAATCGACAACAGCACCTATAATGACTTCAAAGTAAAGGGCTCACGTCTACCATTCATGTATGGTCAACCCAAAGTCCACAAACGTGATGTCCCATTGAAACCTATAGTGTTAATGGTGAAATCACCATGCCATAAACTGGCTAGTTGGTTGGCGTAAAAGTTAGAACCGATTCGACAAAAGTTGGCAGTCCACGGTATCGAGGGTTCCTTCCAACTCTCACAAGAACTAAACCATCTAAAAATTTCAGACAAACTTCTGATATCATACGATGTGTCTTTGCTGTTCAGTAGCATACCCATTGAAAAGACGGTGAGAATCATATGTGGGCAGTCCGAACTACTTCCTCTTCCTGAAAAGGAGCCACGAGGATTACTACTTCTTTGTACAAAGAACGTCCAGTTCCGATTCAACGACCAGCTGTACCGGCAAATTGATGGGGGGGGCTATGGATTCACCTTTCAGTCCTGTTTTTGTGGATATATTCATGGCTCATCTTGAACAGACACGAATGAAGACGGAAACAGAGAGAACCACCTATTGATGACATGTTTGTGGTTTGCAACAATATAGATGACGCACCCTCGATATTCGAAAACCTCAATACGACTCACCCTCACATTGCATTTACAATGGACCATGAATGTGACAATCAGTTCCACTTCTTAGATGTCAACACAAGGCCAAGA